ACCCTGCGCTATTCTTTGTTTTATATCTCTACTGTTTCTACCATCCTAAGTTATCTAAGTTCCTCGTTAATCAGCCACTTCTTCTTTTTTATTATTATTAAGAAATTAACGATTTGAGTGTAAATTATGTTTAACCCTTAATGGACACTAACACATAAATAAGCTGTAATGAGACCAGAATTTAGCGCAAAACCTGCAGTTTCAGCTGATTGTAAAACATGTACGGAAATTAGTGCTGAAAATTAATAATTAAAAATAAAACATAAACGATTTTTTAGAAAATTTGTGACCGATTTTTTTTCAACTTTTGTGATCTCACTAGTGTATTTGCATGCAGTAGCTACACATACATATTTCAAACTGCAACGTTGATTTTCAAATGTGTTTCAATATTTAAACAAGGTCTAAAAAAACAATTTTTAATATTCTTGAAACTGTTTAAGGAAACTATCGCTTACCTTTCAAGCGCTTCGTAAAGCTTTTTTAGGGATTCTGCTGAGAAAACATTCTGTAGTTTAACTTCGGAGTTTCCGTATGAAATATGTAAAAGACATACAAAGAATAATAAAATCAATGGCTTCATATTAACCAGGAACGTCTTGCTTACTAGTGGAATAAGTAAAACTAATTAATTAAACTCATATCTACTATTTAAGAATGTTCATTATCTGCGGTAGGTACTTATTGAATGAATATATTAACGGGTAGCAAACTGCCACTTCAAATATTGCGATAAAACGTATATTTGTTCCCTTTATTCTCCATCCAATCAACTCAAACAATGTAAAGAGTGGAAATTTTATTAAATTTATTTAAACGCTCGTTATTTAGATATCAACAAAATTAAGTACGTGGAATATTAACAATAATGACGTTCGATTAATCGTATAAAAACAGGGCGTTTAACCGACCGACAATATATGTTTTTAGAACATAAAAAAGAGCTGTGTAATTTTCCCAGAATTATGATGTGATAGTGGTTTAGGTAACAAAGTTAAAAGAATCATGGACAAAAGCGGACCTGAACAAATGTGAAACTAATGTAGAATTGGCTCAGTATTGACAAAAGTGTGATAGTCAAATAATTTTTATTAAAAAGACATTGAAAAATCACATTTTTATTACAATATCAATGATTTTCACTTTCATATCAACACTTTTTATTTTCCCTTCTTTCGATTTATTTTATTGGTCACTTACATTCTTTAAAGGAATGTTAAACAAGTATATTTATCAAAACATTGAAAGAAGTTAAGTACCTGATAAGTACAACAGTAAGTGCAAATTGATGACTTTTGCGAGATCATAAATTTAACTTTAATAAACAGTTACTCAGTAGAGCGAAGCATTTATTCTACACTAGCAAGGCATTGAAGTTTTTTAAATTTATTTTCGCCCTTACTAGATGCACTCAATATGTAATTAGTGTTGATATTGAAGCGTTTTACAATTTCTGAGGTATCTTAATAATAAATAGCATTTACAACAGTTTTTTTTTTATTATTATCATCTAGATTTAACTTCAATTTGCGCAAAGACATTACACAAATATCGCAATATGTACAACACATTTATGATAGTAGTAAGATTTTTACGACGAAGTGTAGTTCTCAGGTATACGAGTATAAATGCTGTGCAACAATGTAAATTCTCAAGCGAACAGAGTGCAAGTTGGGGATTGATAGTAACAGTTGTCAAACTCTGGTTCTAAAAAGAAATAATCATAATAAATGGTGGTAATCGTCAGTGGGTGCCAAAATAACATTAGGTGGCATGAAAGGGACATTTTTGTTTTGAGGATCTTGGTAAATAAATGAAATAAAAAATTAAACATTTACGACTAAAATTAGGAAGCTCGGTCATGTCAGTATCGAAATAGGACAGAACAACAAACCATTCTTTATCCTTAGTTGTATATTTTTTCAATTTAAAAAAAAAAATGTTTTGTCCCTTTCATTAATAGAGTGTATTGAAAGGAACAGGATTGTTTATGAAAGGGATAATACGTAATAATAAGGAAAATCACCTTGCAATACGAATGATATTAATCAATAGGTACATTTTTCAAAAAAATTAGAAATCAACAATTTATTTTCGTTATAGTTTAGTTAACTGAACATTTGCTTCGTCCTACTTTCTTTATCGGCTTTGGGTCATATTTTCTAAAAGTAATCTATCTTTCTTTGGGGTTTCGGTTATAATTGCAGTTTTAACTTTGCGTTTCTCTCCTCTTATTTTTCGAGCTGTAGCTTTAGGATACGGCCTAATCTGCTCTGGAGTTAGTAGAAGGTGAGATGGATTTGAAACTGCAGAATGCGTTACTTCACTGTTGAAAGATCCAGGCTGTGGTTCGTTTGAAATAGAAGGTTCAATTTTCTATAGATAAGATCGTCATTATCTGCACTTACTTCATTAAAAATTTCGTTAGGACCAGTGATGTTTTGAGGTGACTGTGGACGATTTGTGGTGAAAGAGGGTAAAAAATCTCCATCACCGAAAATATTTTTATTAAAAGGCCATATCCCAGTGTTTTTGAAACCTGACGTTACGTTGTTCATATTAAAAGCATCATAGTAGGCGTCTTTTGAGAATTGAGCCACATTATAAATGGTTACAGTTTTACCAGGATTGGAATTCATCGAGTTATTCATGCTAGCCCTTTATTTAGCTTTAAAGGGTCTAAAGACAGATAAATGTAGGGGTTGTAGGCGGTGACTGCAGTGTGGTGGAAAGGTTAGTATCATTAGGTTATTTTTTGTGGCATAAGTTAATGGTTATATGAGTTTTATGATTGTCAAGGAGTATTAAAGCCGTCGATTCAGTAGTTGGCTTGACTAAGTTAACAAAATGTTCTAATGCTTTTAAAAAACAATCTTCCGTTATCCATCCAGATAAATTCGCAAGGCCCAACGCACCCATAGGGCCATTCTCAAGCATGTGTTCTTTATGCGGAAATATTAATATAGGTGAAATACTACCACCAGAAGCGTTTACAAAAGCCAGCATTAGTTACAGTGGTGCAGCCAATTTCGTCTAAATTCCATATCATGTTTGGAGGAAACTTACGTCTCAGATAACATTTCTCTAAGTTATTAAAAAAAACTTGTACATTGTGTTTATTAAAGCTTGAAGTTGTTGCTAACAAAGTATTTTCCGGTTTTCTCACACTCAAACAATCATACCTTTTCAAAAACCCTTTCAGCCAGTTTACACTACTTATTTTACTTTCCTGCCAAGAACGTGGTATACTTATTTTAAGACGATCAGCGTACTGATATGCCAGTTCTCTGACTTGTTTAGTTGTCAACCCATGGCACATTTTTGCAAAGATCTTTAAGTAATCTACCAAGGAGCATTCTTGATCTGTGCTGAAAATTCCTTTATTGCCAATGTTCGGTTTGTAAACAAAAGACGTCGATTCAGACAATTTAGCTTTTACGACTAATCTTTGCAAGTGCGATTTGGGTAAATTGAAAGTTTTTGCAGCCGATCTTATCGAAACGTTTTTCTTCAAGACTTCATTCACCGCTTCTTGTATTTTATCTGCCCCGACGCGAGTTCGCTTTTTAGGTGGTACTTTTGAACTGCAGCGATGAACAAGACATCATTAACTTAAAAAATTGCTAACCACGAAAGGGACAGTTATGAAGGGAACGTCCCTTTCATAACCGTTTGTTATGTCCCCTTCATGAATTTTACCCAAATTTGAAAATTTAACCCTCTACAGCTATCATTTTATGTCAAACGTTTCTTACCTGTTGTTCGTCTCTAATTGAATAAATAACTTATAACAGACAATGGAAAGCAGTTCAATGAACTTAAAGTTTGGAAAAGGATTTTACTTGTGAGCAAGAATAAATTCACAAGCACAAATACTCGCGTCTCATAAGACAGGACGGTGAACTTAGGTGCAAGTGAGTGTGAATCGATGTTACCACACAACAACAGTACTTCTATCCAGAGAAAATTTGTTATTTGCCCCGTAAGTTGTCCCTTTCAATACGTGTCACCCTCATGCCACCTCTTCCCTACAATTGGATAAAACTGAATTGTTATGTGGATAAAGCTTTTTAGTAGACATCTTATAAAAATGTTGATAAACTAGAAACTCGATTATCCGAAACAATGTGGACTAAAGTAACTTCGGTGTAATGTAATAATTGTTTATTTGTTTTTAGTGATAAGTACTGAAAATAAACAATTTTTGCTTTGAAGTGCTTTAAAATTATGAGATAATAATAATAACGTTATGAGATTCTGCAAAAATCGATTCAGCTGTTTCGAAAATTAGCCTGTAGAAACAGAGAAGCTAATAGACAGACAGACAGACAAGGAGTAGCTCAGGTAACTCCTGATAATCTTCTCTTCGTGTGTGTAAGACCTCATTGAAATCAGTTTAGTCGTTTCTAATATTAGATTCCGTTCAGAGCGACTGACAAAAAATTTTTTACAGGTGGTTTATGTTTATTAGCATACAAATAAAAGGTATACACTTCAAAATTACGCATAGACACTTCATTTATAGGTATAGAGCGTAATTTCTTCGATCTATAAGAGTGAAGATTCTCTACAATAAAATTATAAAGAAAAACGAAATGATTGAACATATTTACATTTGAATGAGGCACGCGTGAGCACTGCTTTTATTGAATACAACGTTTAATCAATACAAGAGTTTTGGTGATACTAAGGCTTCCTTTATTTCAAAAGCTACACTCATTGTTCTCTATGTCGCCTTTATTCTATAGTTTGCTATTTTAGTAACGATCATGTATCTAATGTATTGGGTCTCTTGCATAGCAAACTAATGCCTTTTATTTTGAAACTATCATCCACTAAAAATGTATGGACTTATTGAATAATTTATTTACGACAACCCATCAAGTTCGCATTGAATAAAAAAATTAATGGTGACGATGATTACCCTATTTCCTGTGAAAAGTAGGGATGTGGTAAGGAGAGTTCTGTCCGTCATACGTGATAAGCATATCGACCGGTTTGGTGTTGTAATGTAAGAAGTATTCACACCACTTTTTTAAAAACGGTATAAATTGTTGGTCAGTGGATCGCGATTTCGATCTTATTTGGTCTCATCAGCACGCTACAGGCGATTTCTATACTGTAATGTATCGCTGATTCATACATTAGTATCTACCAAGAAACATCAGTACATGACTATATACAGACGTAGTTAGATATTATACCAAAAACTTTTTTAATGTTTTTATATTTGTACTTACTCTGACACTTGTTCTTCTGGTGATGAAATGCTGTCCCGTTTGAAGCAAAGTCATAACCATGACCCACGTTGTTTTCTGAAACATATTTCAATAACTACTAAATAACTGACCTAAGATTAAGACTCAGTCGTCAGGTAAAAATAGGTGCGATAAACCTTATGTAAATGCAAATACGAAAAACTTATTATTCATCAATAAAGTAGGAATAATTTGTAGCTCTCTGTGTCATGTATATGTCAATCTCAAATGCAATTACTCTAATTACAATTCGCGACAATTACTCAAACATTCATCATTATGAGGTCGTCAGTCCTGAGACTGTTTGGACACCTCTACTCTTTCCTATCCAGAGCTAATCTTCGAATTTTCCCAAAACGAGAGCAACCTACATCCTTAAATATTTACTACCTATTTTTTATTGACTTCCATAGAGTCCTCTGTTCTCCTATTCTTTCTAATACCTCTTCATTTCTAACTTTCTCTATCCACGGTATCCTCATCAGTCGCCGGTAACGCCACATTTCAAACGACTTTTCTTTTCCGCCCCGCCCACTGTCCATGTTTCGCACCCGTACAGCGCCTCGCTCCAAACATAATTCTTTCGAATTTATGAATTAAACGTTCGCGAACATAGAAGTGACTTCTTTTTATTGAAGGTGACGCGACCCTGCACTATCCTCTGCTTTATATCCCTACTACTCCTTCCGTCCTGATTATTTGTCTTTCTAGATACCTAAAATCAGCCACTTCTCATGACTTTATATTCACTCCTTCCCTTCTTCCTCCGGGTTAATAATTTTAATGGTATCTATTACTTTCATATTGTCTTTAATAAAAGAATCAGTATTTCAATGGAGTTGGTTTTCGTTCAAAATGTATGATTTGTGGATTTACCGAGAAGCAAGCAAACATCATACCTATTCGGTTCAGCAAGAGTTATGAAGGTATACCTAGACTTAGATACGTATACATGTATATGTTGGAACGCCCTTAAGGGTTAACGTGCAACATTAATAACGAATTAGAAGGAATTTTTGTTCACGTAGGTACTCTCGTCTCTCCCGGAAATTTGGAAAATTCACGTCCATCGATTCGCATACCACACAAAAGCCTTCCCTTGAATGGATTCTATTCGCATGGAATCAATTGTAGAATGGCGCGTTGTAATGAGGGCTCTAAATTCCATCTTAGTTCTATTTCTCATAAAAGGTTAAGTATAAGTTAGTACGTACCGTGGTCATTGTTCGGGTTCCATCGCGGTTACGCCAGAAACAAAGGCAGAATTCCGCCTCGGAATTCCATTGTGATTTCTTAAAGACATGTAAACAGTAATGCTGTTCCTGACAGCTATCCGGACCTTAAACAGACCGAATACGGATTTAGAAGTTAATTTTGACTTAATTAACTGTTTTAAAGTAACGTTCTTTTTTTGTTCACTTGAGAATATTTTCGCAAAGATTTTAAAGTGTAGGTGATAATAATTTTTAAAATAGACTATTGACATATGCATTTGATTATTTACAAATGTAAGATAAGATAAAAAATTGCATCAGGTGTAAGCGACGAGAAAACAAATCCCAAGAATTAGTAAGTAGTTAATAAATTTTCGGTTTCTAAAAGTTATTACACCTCATTTATATTTAATTTGTCTTGAAATTTGCTTATGCGGTAATAGGCCCTAGTTACTTATACTTATATATTTTCATAGAGTTTAAAATATATATCTAGCGATTTGTGTTTCTATTAAATTTTTTGAGTGCTATAAATTATAGTGAATATGACTGATTATGATTGCAGACATTATCAGACTGATTTGTTCAATTAAGGTAATTAATCCAAGCTTTAAATCGACGCATAGCTATTCACTGAAGAAATACATTTAGACTCTTTTTATTAATTTTTTATTCTTGTTATACCTATAACATTTAAGCATAATAAAATAATTATCGTAATTGTTACTTATCGTTATTTTTAATTACATTGGTTAATTAGCAAATAATCGAAAATCTAATCGATCAGTTACAAAAAAACAATTATCGTATCTGCTGAGGATAACAATTTAAATCAGTTTTTACGCCAAACCAATTTAGATATTACATAGTACGTTTAATGAAAATTGAAATATCTAATCTTAAAAGTAAAAGCGAATGGGAATGTTAAAGCACTTAGGACTTACCTCTCCATTTACGAAGCAGTACAAAACGGCAATAAAAAAACCTTGAAAGGATGTCACGAAGAAAGTTGTGTAAGACCACAGAGCAAATTTCCAGGCACTTTTAAAAAGCCGGAAATCCACGACAAATAAAATGTTTGCAATGCCCATTAAAGGTAACAGGAAAATAGCAGCTTTTACCGCCTTCCTACAATGGGAAAAAGAAACATGAAAACGCATTTTTGGAAATGGGGTCTACCTAATATTTATCATCTTGGTTAAGCTTTTTACGATAAATATAATAGTAGGTACCTAGGAAGATGTTAAATTTCATTAAAATTCTAAAAATCTGCTCTCCAAGGGCGATTGTGCTTGTAAAAGTGCTACAGAGCTGTATAATAAATAACTAAAATTTATTAATTACTACATAGTATAAAACAAAATCGCTTTCCCGCTGTCTGTCCCTATGTATGCTTAAATCTTTAAAACTACGCAACGGATTTTGATGTGGTTTCTTTTAATAGATAGAGTGATTCAAGACGAAGGTTTATATGTATAATACATGCATAATATATCAGAGAAACACTGATAATTTTAGAGGTTTCCAATGTGATGTCGCAAATAAACACATTTTTTGCGCTTACATTGCAAACGCTGGCTGAACCCTACGAGATAGATCAAAATATTGTACTACAGTATTGTAAACCTTAAAAAGGTCTACAAAAAAGTCCGCGATGGTATATGTCTATCTCTTAAGGACAATCCGCAATAACCATTTTTTTCCTTTACTTTTTATGAGAAATAATGGCTTATTTACGAAGCGATTTTAAGAAATACTGCATTAATTCTTATCCAATTAAGTACCTTAAATATATTGTGCATTTAATATAGATCAATATGGCCCAGTATGTAATTTAAATGAATATTTTCGAAGATATTACAGATTTAAAATGCAGGGACATAGCGGTTGCGGCGGTACCGGCCGGGAGGCCGGTTTGTATTGTCTAATGACAAAAAAACTGTGAATGTTGTATATAAAAGATTCTGTAGTATATTTAGTATGTTCAGGGGGTATCTTTTGAATATTTCCCCTTTTCGATAATAATCTAAACAAAACAAAAATATATTTAGTATCAGCATTGCACCCTTGCGAAGCTGGGGCGGGTCACTAGTATATAATAATTTAGCGTCTTTGCATCACACCGAACGCTAATACGTTTATGTAAGGTCGAATTATTTTTTTTTTCGAGCGCGTCGCGGTGCTATCCTTTATACATATTATTCCACTGGATATCAGGAAGCAGCTCTGATCACTGCTTTAGAAGCTCCCTTCTTACGTTAGCCCACTTTCTGCCGCAAGTTCCTACTAATTAATGAGCTGCATTCTACTCAGCTAATTCCTCTAAAATTCAGTGTCTTTAAATCGACTTATAGCTTCATAGATGCTCTCCATTGAAAGATTGTTTATATCAAAAATTGATAGTTTATTAGGAATAAATAAACTTTCAAAAAGTAGATGAGCAGCCTCCAATACTTAAAATGCTCAGATAGAAATGTATATTGGAACTGTACAAGAAATTGTTCCAGAATATTGTTTGGACTAAATGATCAATAACAAAGATAAAAGACGTGAAAAATTTAGTTCTGGTTCGTTGATTATAAACGACAATCGAAGAAACTGTCACGAAACTTATTTTGCCGTAGTCTGACGAAGAAGGAATAATTGAATTGAGAGACAATAAACGTTCTGGAAACAGCATCTAAAAATGCTTGTTATCTGTTAAGGGTTGTAAATTGTAACAGCAGTCGGCAAACTTCCTTTCTTCTGAATAATTTACAAGATACAGAGTATTTTCTTCTAATGGGTTCCAATGCAAATATTACCTAAATATTTTCAATTCTTTCGAAAATAAAATCCTACGCGTCATTTATTGCCCTCTTGAATGCGCCTTTAAGCAGTTGTAATTGCCAATAAAACTGAATTAAATTAAAACATTTAAAGGCATTAATTGATGTATTTGATGTTCCTTTTCAACGATTTTTGCAAATCAATTGAAAATACATAATTGTCCTGGTATTGATCCTGCTTTATGGAAAGAAAAACGTTATCCTTTGTGTATTAGTTCATATTTAATTTGATCAAAAGCCATCAGTGCTATGTTGAAGTGATTTATTAATTGCATGTCGGCTTCTTTTGCTATAAACGGCCTTTGAAGTTCAATTGTATTTCAAAACGTTTATATTTTGGAATGTTATCATTATATCACGAACGATACATGTCTCAGTCATTTTTAATACGCAAATTCGAAATAACGTCTTATCGATACACAATTTCAATTATAAGAGAAGTATTTTAAGTTTTCTTTTTCAGACGTTTATGAAGTATGTGACCAGATAGGAATTGATAAGAACTGATTACTATTATTGTACTTTTACGTCAAACAATTTTGCAGAAATTAACAAAATAATAATATGTATTTGTTGTTTATACAGACTAACTACGCTTTTAAATTTAGTTATAATACATATAGGTTTAGCGTAATTTTGTGTTATGCATTTAACAGAATAACTGCGACCCTATACATATAATCATTATTTTGTTTTCTACCCTATCATTCGGTTTTGCATCATTGATTGTAGTGATTGTCGATTACTTGCAATTAGTTTAATCTTGCACCCAAGTTATTAAATATGCTCCTCTATCCACTTGTGAAATATCTACACTCATGAGCCGCTACTGATATTCAATCCCTACCTACTATAATATATATAGTTAACAGTAGGTACCTGTGATCTAATAAATTCCTATTGCAATCACAGATTTCATACACAATTTGTGTCATTATTTGCGTAGTGATAATAGCATTACTTTCTATCCAATAAAATCGTGATGTTTTTGTCGACAAACGCTTCTGTATACAACTTTGTAATCAAGGCGAAATCCAATTTCAACTTTAACAGGTTGCACAAGTTAATTTTGAGGGGAAATGAACTTACCTAACCTGCTGGATTTCGCTGGTGTGACTTTGGCGCAGTTTCACAATCAAAACTCTTATAATGTTCAACAGGAACAGCATATTAACCTGAAAAGAAATTGTATAATAACATAGGCAATAATATAATTGTCATCTGTCGTTGAAATTATAAATTACTTTAAACACCATTACATTACTGCAACTGAAGTTTTATCTGCAATATTTTCGAATTTAAAAAATTGACATCACTCTAGACACTAGTATAAATTTACAAGACAAATTGAATATAATAATGTGAAAATTAATTTGCAATTTTCCATCCACTACCTCAGGTTAGGGAGGAAAATTTTGAAAAATGTTGCTGTTGTCACACCCTTGCCGGAAATCGAACAAAAATTTTCCCTCACTAACCTAAGGCAGTTTGTAATGGATGGAAAATTGAAAATGAATTTTGACAAACTGAATAATTTCGGAAACACAATTTGCAATAAATATGTGGTCCATATGGTGATCAAAATAACTTCTAACAAAGGCGATTGTGGATGAGCCATTTCTCATTTTGTCGACAGGGTAACTAACCATGACAAGGACGTTTAACAATAAAAATTTCTTATTTAATAAACTCATAAATACATACATATGAAATCGGTGCTCATTATAATAGAATTAGATAGTTAATAATATCCGCTTTACACCTGCTTCTATACACGCACGAGCTTCTCATATATAAGTCTCAGGTTTAATTGGATTCATTGAAATCCCGAAAAGGATGTCAAAAAATAAAATTACTTGAGAATAATAATCACGCAATAGAAACGCCGACTACTATATATACATATCTTTTTAAAAAAAACTGCAAAATTGGTCCTCATAGAAGTGGAAATGAATTTACAATTATGTTTAGTCTAACAATGAAAATATAAAAAATTTCTAAAAATACGTAAAAGCTATTATCCATTTCTTTTTCTTCTCTTGGGGATAAAGCTATAAATACAAATTCATAATAGGACTCGTACCTACTGCTAAGTGTTACGTAGGCAAAAATTAATCTTCTATTAAATTTAAACCATATTTGCGTTGAAAAGGAATCCTAAATTTTATATGAAATCTTTTTAAAATATTATTGTAGTATCTCTTTTGTTTTTCGTTGAGACACTAATGTTTAAATTTGGTTTTGATAAAAGAACAAGTGTCCTAAGCGCAAGGACTTTTAGAAAAAAGAAAACTTTGTAAAATTTAAAAATATTTAATGAAAATGAATAGGTTGCTATTTACAGTTCTAACGTCTTCACCAAGTGCCCGCTCAACAGCCTCTGTGCTTTTTTCGACTACCTGGGTACTTGGTTCGACCGATTTCTCCTTACAGGAAACAACTTAAAAACTACCCTTAGCATCTAGTAAAAAAACATCTGGTTTGACTTTACAACTTAACCTACTTGAATTTTCTTAGAACTACGGACACACACACACACATATACAACTGCTCAATATTTCTACCCTAACTTCTTAATAATATCTTATGTTACTACATTCGGCCATCCTGCGTAAAACATCTGACCTCAGATGTTGTCTTCGTCTTCTTCATTGTCGTCCATCTCGCTTTCTATCCCTGCTGTCCATGGCTTTAGATGGTCTACAGAAGCCGACGTCTGGTTTGGCCCTTCATGGTCTCCTATCTTTTGTACCACGTACCGGTCGTTTCTTAAAACTTTTAGAATTTTGTATGGTCCTAAAAATTTAGCTCTCAGTTTGAGACCTGGTCCAAATTGAGTCCTCTTAATTGCGACCCAATCTTCTTCTTGGTACTGTCTGGCTACTTTTCTCCGTTTGTCATATCTTTTTTTATTATCCCTCTGTATTTCGGCAATATTTTCTCTCGCTTCATCTCGCAACTCGTTTCTTTCTTCTTCGAATCTATTAGCCCATTCTTGTTCTAATATTTCCTTTACTTCGTTATCGTCCTTAAATCGAGCATTGACACCAAAAAGTAGATGGAAAGGTGTCTTACCTGTGCTCCGGGAAGGCGTCGTATTTAAATATTGTTGAGCCTTTTCGACGTATCTGTACCAATTTTCCGGAACAGGAGCAGTAAGTTTGGTAAGTAGTGGTATAAGGGTACGATTCATCCTTTCTACCTGTCCGTTCCCTCGTGGTACACCTGTTGTAATTGTGACATGCCCAATATTTTCTTCTTCACAGTATGAACGGAAAGCGTTGGAGGTAAAGGCTGTCCCACGATCTGATATAATTCTTCGCGGGTTTCCGAAGATTGCTGCCTGCTTGCGCAACCGATCAATTACTTCCGCTGCATCGGTCGACTTTGTTGGATATAACCATATGAATTTTGTGAATGCATCAATCACTACCAGGATATACTGATACTTTTTCTTCGTATTAGTCATGGGTCCAATGTGGTCTATGTGGTATGTTTGTAGCGGTAAATCTCCTTTATCGATAATGTGAAGGAACCCTTCCTGTTTGCCGTGCTTCCTCTCGGCTAAAATGCAGTTTATACAACTAGCCACTACCTGCTCGACCTTTTGCCGCAGGCCCTTAAACCAAAAGTCCTTCTTTAGAATCGCCTCAGTTTTATTGATACCAAAGTGTCCTCGCTCGTGAGCTTGTCGCGTTACCTGGGCTTGCATACATTTAGGTACAACAATTAGCATATCATCACCTACAATTCTATACAATATTCTATTTCTTATTAAGTAACCGTCGGCTTGATTACGAGTTGTGGCGTCTATTATTTTTGCTATCTCTTTATCTTTCTCTTGCGCGCTTCTCAGACGCGTAATCAAATCGACTTCACTCTCATTTATTAACATTGTACTGGGCACTGGATACCTGCTTAACGCGTCAACATGTTGCATATTTTTCCCTGACCTATGACAAATTTGATAATTATATTCTTCTAATAATGCAACCCACCTGGCTGCCCGCACACACAAATCCTTCTTTTTCACAGTCATTACAAACGCTCTACAGTCGGTCACAATCTTAAAGGAAATACCTAATAAGTACACCCTAAACTTTTTTAAAGCTTTAACTATGGCTAACATCTCTAACTCGTAACTCGTATACTTTTTCTCAGTTTCTGACATTTTTCCGCTGGCAAAATACACTGGATGGAATTTTCGATCATCGTCGTCCAATTGTAACAAAATCGCCCCATACCCGACTTGAGACGCATCTGTATGCAATTCAGTCTCTGCACCCACACGATATAATTTTAACACCGGCTTATTAATTAATGCGACTTTCAATGATTCAAATGCTTCAATTTCACGACATCCAAAATTAAATTTTGCGTCCTTTTTTAATAAATCCGTCAACGGTGTAGCAATTGTGGAATACCCTCTTATAAATTTCCTAAAGTATCCCGTTAAACCTAGAAAACTCTGTACTTGTTTTACGGTGGTAGGACAAGGAAAATCACAAACCGCCTTTGTCTTCCTTTCTGAAGGTCGTATCGTGTTTCGCATTACAATATACCCTAGATATTCTATTTCGGTTTGCAGAAATTGACATTTTTCCCAATTGATAATTAGCCCGTGTTGACTTGCGACTTCCAGTACACGTTTTAATTGTTTTACACCTTCGTCTAGATCACCAGCTAAAATAATCAGGTCGTCCATATAAGTTACTACGACTTTCTGTTCAATTAAATTCTTAAAAACAACATTAATAAATTTTTGGAATATAATTGGCGATACGCACAAACCAAAAGGGGTTTTTAGAAACTCATATTGGCCTGTTGGAGTTACAAATGCAGTATATTTTTGACTTGCTTCATCTACCGGAACATGAAAAAAACCGTTCTTTAAATCTATAGTTGTGAATATTGTTGCCCCTTGTAATGCGTCTAGTTGATCGTCGATTAGCGGTAACGGAAAATGTGGTCTTAAAATTAACTTATTTAATGCACGATAATCTATGCAAATTCGTGTAGATCCGTTCCTCTTTCTAACTAAAACTATCGGACTCGCGTATTCTGAATTGGATATTCTAATGATGCCTTCTTCTAACCATACTTTTATTATTTCATCTACCTCTTTTCTTTCTTGCAATGATAATCGGCGCGGCCTAAATACTACAGGTACGTCGCTTTTTAAAATGATTTTTGTTTTTATACCTACGTCTTTCGTTTTTTCCGGCTTATACGTTTTTATTAGGTTCTTTATTTCTTCGCGGTGTTCTTTTACTTGAATATGTGCTAAGTCGATCTCCTTGCATTCGTCGATCGTATTGATAGCGAATAATTCTGGTACATGCGAATTTTCCGAATCTGAATGGTCTAATGCTAAGAATGATACTATTCCCCGTCGTACTCGTAATTCTATCTGGTCTAAAAAGTCTGTCCCTAATAACAAAGAGTGTTTCAGAATTTCTTTTGGGACAACGTGAAAAGTTACAAAAAATTGGACGCCGTCAACTATCATAGTTTTCGAAAACTCACCCATTGTCATATTGCCTGTGGATCCAAGACCCTCAAATTTCAAAGTTCGCTTCCGCAATATTGGCGAACCTATATCTGCATAAACATCTGATCGTATAAAGGTCAGATCACTACCTGTATCTACTAACGCTATGAACTTACGGTCCTCTAATAACACTTCTTTCATGTACTTTTGTTTGTCCGGTCTCGACACAATGTACGCTTCTTTAGGTTTTCCAGGACACTTCGCGGCAATGTGCCCGAACTCATTGCATTTAAAGCACTTTAACCCTTTTTCCTTTACGGGACACTCTGCACTCAGATGATCTTTGGCACCACAATTATAACACCTTTTCGTTTTCACCACTGGATCTCCTTCGGCGTGCTTCTTTTTTGATTCCCGTTTGCTTCTATCGTCGCGTCTTTCTGTCAGCTTACTTCTACTTCTCATATCCTTCTTCAACGTTTCGTATTGGGTTAACCTTTCCTTGAGTTGGCGAATATTTTTTGCGCCATATAAAAGAGTTTTGTTTGCCGGGTCATCAGGAATTCCTTGGATAACATATTGAATTACGGATTGCGTTTCCACATTTGCTTGAGCTGCTATTTCCAGCATTTTGTAGACGTATTGCTGGTATGTTTCGTCTGGTTTCTTTCTGCGTTGTGATAACTGTTGGTGTATCTGATAGCTGTCCACTACGTCGTCAAACTCATTTTTTAGCGCTTTTTTCATCTTTGACCATGTTTTTGTGCACTTTTCGTAATTGACGAACAATTTCGCCGATCCTTTTAACAGTCTTTTACCATATGCAACTTTCTGTACATCGGACCACTCACACAACACCGCCATTTCTTCAAAGCCTTCAATCCAACGTCTTATGCTCACATAGTCGTCCCCACTGAACTTTTCTAAGGACTCCTCTACATCTCTAAATGTTAATTGCGGCTTGGTTGTAATGTCACGTCTTCTTTGGCGAGCAACTGAAACTCTCGGCACTTCATCTTCTTCGTCGTCATTTTCTCCGTAACTGCTACCCTCAGCTACAGCTTCTTCGGCGTCATCGTCTTCATCATCGTCTTCGTCACTATTTATAGCTTCTTGATCACGTTCCAACATCAAGGCTGCTTTCAAACGTGCGATTAACTCTTTTTTTGCCCCCGACGTCCTGAGCTTTCGTCGTCTTAACTCCGTCTTTAATTCGGGGATCTTCATCTGTACCACTTGTTCGTCAGTCAGCACTATTTGTTGGTTTTGATCAACCACCGCTTCACTGTCTGCCATTGTTCACTTTTATATTTTCGTTTTCTTTTGCACCAACACTTCTTTACTTGCCGCTTGTTTCACACTGTTCTCTTTGATCAATCCCGGCTGAGCCCCCAGAAAATGTAGTATCTCTTTTGTTTTTCGTTGAGACACTAATGTTTAAATTTGGTTTTGATAAAAGAACAAGTGTCCTAAGCGCAAGGACTTTTAGAAAAAAGAAAACTTTGTAAAATTTAAAAATATTTAATGAAAATGAATAGGTTGCTATTTACAGTTCTAACGTCTTCACCAAGTGCCCGCTCAACAGCCTCTGTGCTTTTTTCGACTACCTGGGTACTTGGTTCGACCGATTTCTCCTTACAGGAAACAACTTAAAAACTACCCTTAGCATCTAGTAAAAAAACATCTGGTTTGACTTTACAACTTAACCTACTTGAATTTTCTTAGAACTACGGACACACACACACACATATACAACTGCTCAATATTTCTACCCTAACTTCTTAATAATATCTTATGTTACTACATTATTGATGTATGGATTTAAACAAATCTATTATGTATTAACTTACAAGAATAACTGCAGTTCTTGGGCCTTCCAAAATCCAGTAATAAGGTAAAAAGTAGTAGAGGTACCAACAGCTGCAATATTAAAGTTGAATTTCAATATCAGCTTAATTTTGGTAGATAAATAGTATTTAAAAAACTGAAACTTAAAAACCTGTCACTAGGAAGTTTTTATAAGTTTGTAACGTAAATAGGTTTAATTGTTTGACTTTTAAAAGGTTTCTCACGTTACAAAGGCTTTACTTTAACAACTTCTTAACCTCTCGTTTCTAAAAGTAAATTAGTCTTGACTTCAGAAATGAAAAAACTTGATAACTGTTAAAAAACCGTTAGAAAAACAACGTGATAGAAAACGTGAGTATAAGAAATTGTTAATTAAAAAGTAAGAATTATACGCTTCTTGTAATGCGAAATATCCCCTGACTCAAATTTTTGGAATATAATTGGCGATACGCACAAACCAAAAGGGGTTTTTAGAAACTCATATTGGCCTGTTGGAGTTACAAATGCAGTATATTTTTGACTTGCTTCATCTACCGGAACATGAAAAAAACCGTTCTTTAAATCTATAGTTGTGAATATTGTTGCCCCTTGTAATGCGTCTAGTTGATCGTCGATTAGCGGTAACGGAAAATGTGGTCTTAAAATTAACTTATTTAATGCACGATAATCTATGCAAATTCGTGTAGATCCGTTCCTCTTTCTAACTAAAACTATCGGACTCGCGTATTCTGAATTGGATATTCTAATGATGCCTTCTTCTAACCATACTTTTATTATTTCATCTACCTCTTTTCTTTCTTGCAATGATAATCGGCGCGGCCTAAATACTACAGGTACGTCGCTTTTTAAAATGATTTTTGTTTTTATACCTACGTCTTTCGTTTTTTCCGGCTTATACGTTTTTATTAGGTTCTTTATTTCTTCGCGGTGTTCTTTTACTTGAATATGTGCTAAGTCGATCTCCTTGCATTCGTCGATCGTATTGATAGCGAATAATTCTGGTACATGCGAATTTTCCGAATCTGAATGGTCTAATGCTAAGAATGATACTATTCCCCGTCGTACTCGTAATTCTATCTGGTCTAAAAAGTCTGTCCCTAATAACAAAGAGTGTTTCAGAATTTCTTTTGGGACAACGTGAAAAGTTACAAAAAATTGGACGCCGTCAACTATCATAGTTTTCGAAAACTCACCCATTGTCATATTGCCTGTGGATCCAAGACCCTCAAATTTCAAAGTTCGCTTCCGCAATATTGGCGAACCTATATCTGCATAAACATCTGATCGTATAAAGGTCAGATCACTACCTGTATCTACTAACGCTATGAACTTACGGTCCTCTAATAACACTTCTTTCATGTACTTTTGTTTGTCCGGTCTCGACACAATGTACGCTTCTTTAGGTTTTCCAGGACACTTCGCGGCAATGTGCCCGAACTCATTGCATTTAAAGCACTTTAACCCTTTTTCCTTTACGGGACACTCTGCACTCAGATGATCTTTGGCACCACAATTATAACACCTTTTCGTTTTCACCACTGGATCTCCTTCGGCGTGCTTCTTTTTTGATTCCCGTTTGCTTCTATCGTCGCGTCTTTCTGTCAGCTNATTTACTCATTGTCATCACTTACTAATGGGAGAAAATAAAATTAAACATGGTCAATATTTTTACTCACAACAGATGGGAAATATTACGTATATTGTTATAATATTGAAAAGTATTACGTAGAGTTATACCTATCTTATATTTAACTTTTAATTGCAATGCCTTCCTTAAACGTCTTGAAAAAATATAGTAACATATAGTATGCTAAACTATATTAGTTTTACTGATACTGTTCGATTAGTTTAAAAAAGCAATTTTGATTTACGCAAGGAAGGTATGGTAAGCGCCTCCACCAGAATACATTGAAGTTGTTCTAGTTTTGGAGGAATGCAAAGGTTGACTCCAGATAGGCCGAAATAAAGAGCTTATAAATATGATAATTCTGTAATTAAATATCTGGACTATTTATACATTAAAAATTCATCACTCACCCAATGTTATCGACTGCAAAAACCATTGTGAAAACCCACACTGCCGTCATGAGTAAAGGAATAGCCCAACCCATCCAGAAGTATAACTTCATGTAAGAATATTCCTGGAATACTGTTACTGTTATAATGTTGTGAAGATACAAACCTTCGATGAATATCCACATAAACATAGTCGTTTTGGCGTATTCTAAGAGCACGTAGCATGCTTCACATAGGTATGGCTAAAGAGAATTAATTAGTTGTAGCGAAAGAAACAAATTGTACCTAAATGAGTGCAAATAGAAAATGAATTGTAGTTTTCTTTTAAAAAGTATAGAATAATACACAGCGGTATAATGTTAATTGTTCCTGATGTTTTAATTCATGTCTCGTTTCAGAACTTAATTAAGCAATTCTTCGCTATAAAACAGAATAACATATATAGTTGAAGAGCAATTAATTAATTTTGAGCTACAGAAAAATAATAAGTAATGTATATAGTTGTAGCCAAGACGTCTCGATTCATTTTTATTGTCATTATAAGGATTACTTATGTGTATATGTTTAGTTCTAGCAGTTGTGTTGTAAATAGTTGTCTTAATGAAATTATATTTACTCAGACATAGTACAATTACTCGAAAGTAAACTGTAACATCAAAGAGGCAAAATCTGTGTTTACGACGTTTACAAACCTAATTAAATAAAATTACAAAACTGCAAGCAGTGCATTATTAATTTTGAATTAGCATAAGGCGCTTTATGCAGTGATTTAAAGAGGTTTAAGGTAACTGTAAAAAATACTAAACGTTTCATTATTTATACCCAAAGGAATAAGTACAAGGTACTGACATTTTTAAAATCTACATACATATCGTATTTTAAAGTTACTTTTTTTGGGGATTTTTGAAGTGAAACTTCTTTACGCACGGTAGGGTAAGTTCGTTTCATGCGAGTTGCTATGTAACGAAATCATGCAACGCATTTCCCCGCTGTCTGTCCCTGTGTATGCTTAGATCTTTAAAACTACGCAACGGATTTTAATGCGTTTTTTTTAATAGATAGAGTAATTCAAGAGGAAGGTTTATATGTATAATATATGCATAATATAGTAGAGAAACACTGATAATTTTAGAGGTTTGTAATGTGATGTCGTAAATAAACACATTTTTTTGCGCTTACATTGCAAACGCTGGCTGAACCCTACGAGATAGATCAAAATAATATACTACAGTATTGTACACCTTAAAAAGGTCTACAAAAAAGTCCGGGATGGTATATGTCTATCTCTTAGGGATAACCCACAATAACCATTTTTTATCCTTTACTTTTTACGAGAAATAATGGCTTATTTACGAAGCGATTTTAAGCAATACAGCATTAATCCTTATCCAATTAAGTACTTTTAAATACATTGTGCATTTAATATAGATCAATATGGCCCTTTACAGCATGTAATTTAAATGAATATTTTCGAAGATATTACAGACTTAAAATGCAGGGACATAGCGGTTGCGGCGGTACCGGCCGGTTTGTATTGTCTAATGACAAAAAAGCTGTGATTGTTGTATATAAAGACATTCTATAGTATATTTACTATCAGCATTGCACCCGTGCGAAGCATAGTGTACAAATAATACCATTAAACCAATTCCTTAACCCCTATCCCGGTATGTTTGTGTGTTTGAAGAAGTTTCACTTCAGTAGCGTGTTGTATAATTACACGTTGTATTTTCTTTTTAATGAATACAACTTACCACATTCTCTATAATTCTTTGTTCCAATGATTGATCGATGTAGATGACTAACCTAACAACCACTTGAAGTAACGTAGCAATGAAGAGGTTTTTGTGAATTTTTGTTCTATTGTTTTTTAAAATTCTACAACAGCAAACAACATACGGTAAAAATTACTTCTTTAATATTTGCGACCCGAGTTTTATTTACCTGTATCTGCAGAAAATAGAGAGAGATATTACAAGACTTATGAGGGACAAACTGAGTCCAACCATTTCTATTTGTCTTGTTCTTGTGCTTATCTGCAAAAAGACAAAGCGTAGATTCATGTCTGTTGGACAATAGCAATAACAACTTTTTCTGACAATTTTTTTGAACTTTAGTTACGATGTTTGTTGGCTTGCTGTAGGTATACATGCAGGCTGACCAGAAATGTGTTTTATTTGAAATATTCACTCTTAAAATGTAAATACAAAATGCAAAATGCGTGTAGGTACTTATATAATTCGTCCCGCTTTACCCGAGAATTTTAAACTGTGCTAATTTATTATATATTGAAAAACTATAAAAATTATAGATACAGTGTAAACTCTATATAACGACACTTAAGGGACTGGACATTTTTCGGCGTTATAAAGGGTACATACGTGT